GAGATTAACATAATTAAACACAGGCAGTAAAAATACAGTTTCTAGCCATACCCTGTAACTTTAAAACTACACATCCCATCTTCATAATTACATATTTGGAATCAGCACACTTAAAACATAAACATAACCAAAAATCAGCCAAATCCATCCAGGGGTTAAAAAGTTAGCTGGAGGTCCCTTTATGACCGACTGCAAGCACATTTTACTGCCCAAAACAGTTCCATAGATTTGGGCTGTGAGGTCGGTCTATTTCAGGCTGAAAAAACGACTAAGTCCCATCGCGAATGGGACTTAGTCTCTGCAGCTGAAATAAGGCTGAAAAAAACGGCTGAAAAAAAGACTAAGTCCCATCGCCGAATGGGACTTAGTCTCTGCAGCTGAAATAATTTCCCATTTACTGAACCAAGTGGGAAATAGCAAGGCAGGCACAAAGGGTTTGCACCAGGTCTGAGGACACAGGGGACACCGTCTTAAAGGGGCCGTGTCCCCAACAAGTCTGGGGACACGGCCTTAAAGGGGCAGTGTCCCAATCTTCCTGATGTCCCAAAAAAGGTGTTTAAAGGGCCAGCACCAGTCACATAAAGAGTCCATAAGCCCCAATATGCCCACCGACAGTCTTAAAGGGCCATACACACCAAATAAAAGTGCATACATTTTCACAATCTCCCAGGGGCCATAGTCATGCGGGAGGAGGCTGGCAAATAGGCTTCTCCACAACCCAGGGAAGCAGGGCAATTTGCCATTTAAAGGGCCCGTTACAAATAGCAGTTTGTAACAAGGTGTCAATCCATATCTGCCAAGTGACCCGATGTAGGGGGAACAGTCCCTATTCTGCTCTGTGTCAGTGTGTATCAGGGATCCTTAGGACAGGTGTCAATCCATATCTGCCAAGTGACCCTATGTAGGGGGACCAGTCTCTATTCTGCTCTGTGTCTGTGTGCATCAGGGGCTCTGAGGACAGGTGTCAATCCATATGTCAAGGTGTCAATATGTCATATGTCAGGTGTCAATCCATATTGATTGTGATTTAGGAATGTTAGGTGATTTCTGCCCCTTTATGGATTAAAACCAGACTCTGTATCAACTGTGTAATTTTCCATGGGAGTTTTGCCATGGATCCCCCTCCGGCATGCCACAGTCCAGGTGTTAGTCCCCTTGAAACAACTTTTCCATCCCTATTGTGGCCAGAAAGAGTCCCTGTGTGTTTTAAAATTCGCCTCCCCATTGAAGTCAATGGCGTTTCGGGCGGTTCGCCGGTTCGCGAACATTTGCGGAAGTTCGCGTTCGCCGTTCGCGAACCGAAAATTTCGGATTCGCGACATCACTAGTAGTAAATAAGAAAACAAACTAAAATAGCCAAACTCTCACTCTGAAGCAAGGTATTTTTTCTGAACGAGCTATTTTAACTCTAGTTATCCAATTCACTTTTCAATTATAATGAACTATTTAGAGAACGACAGAGTATATTGTATTTTTATTTTGATGTGTGAGGTGGCTCCACCGATCGTGCCCGGGTCACCCGGCCATGTGGCCTTGCAGGCAGATCTTCACTCTCAAGGAATGCGCCTAAGTCCACCAATTCTGCAATAGAACCGAGTAGGAACTTTCGTTCCTTGATGGCCTACCCGGTGAGATGTCTCATCCGAGAATACATTTATTATGCAGGCAAGAGTGTGGCAAACTAGCTCTATCCCAAGTGATTCCAATATTCCAACTGGACTGTGTTATCCACGGCTGCAGTAGAGAAAGGACTCCAAAAAGGACGTCCAATCAGGGTCCCAAACTGAACTTATGTGGTGGAACGGTGGTCAACTATTCTGGAAATACCGGGTCCCGGAAATATTCAAAGGGATGGGAAACGTAAACCGGAGTTGAGATTCCCATCCAGATGTCAACGTCTAAGTTGTACGGATCCAATGGCAATTGGGACCTGTATAACAATGAAGAGTCCTCACATGCTGTAGTGAGAGAGTGAAATAGTCAGACTACCCGTCGTACGATCCTGTTCCATGCCCGACCTGTCAAAATTCGTGTAGGGGTTCCTGGTATACATGCCACCTACAAGATAGGGTATAATATAGTGTGACCCTAAGGTCCCTGTACCCCTGACTGTCAAGGGACCCAGGAATGTGATTTTGATAATTGAAGTCAAAGTCTCCCTATAGAGGGATACCTCCCTTCTTAGCACATGTGTTGTCCCGTTTGAGAATGTCGGCAGCCCTATCTGAGTCTGCTACACATCCTGAGCCGTACTCCAGTGGTAGGTTGTGACCCGACTTTGACGTCTGTGTAGGAGCACACCAGGTTCCTCCATAGAGTCTCGCAGGTCTCCTTGATGGTAGTTGAAAAGGTGGGTTAGCGCGAACCCAAACCAAAACGGCTCCAATGAGGGATATATAGAGTATAGACGGAGGGCCCTCCATCTCCGAACCATGTTCTCCAGGTATGTGCTCAGAGGAGTAGGGGCAGTCCTGCCATCTTATCCCAAGATTGTAATGACCAGGGAACACAAGACAACCGGGGTTTCCGGTCTTACCATGCGATCCATGCGTATGGTGTACTTTCAGACCGGGTAGTAGGCCTTCCCTAGTCTTGTTACCCGAGCAAGGCAGTGCCCGTTTGCTCCATGAAGGTCATCTTGATATGAGAAAACTGTCTGCGCATGTAACGGCACCCCCAGGCATAAAAGGGTTAAACCGCCGTTTAGTAGATCTTCCCCTTCCAGAGACACAGGCACAGCTACTGCAGAACACCA